CCCGCCGAGGCATCCAACAATATCCGTGAGTTCTCGTTTAGGCCTTCATAGAAAGCCGTCATTAAGTGCCAGGACTGGATATTGTGATGTGGGCATTGCCTTTGAAGATCTTTGAATCTTTCCCAAGCCTCGTAAAGGGGCTCATTTGGATTTTGCTTGAAATTTTGTATCATCCGCCTGATTTTCGCTGTTTTGGAAGGCGGGAAGAACCTTTTGAGAAATTCTCCGTGAAGCTGGTCCCAAGTTGTGAAGTGATTGTCCGGAAATGAATCCAGCCAGCTTTGAGCTCTGTCCCTGAGAGAGAATGGGAACAGACGGAGCCTGATTGCATCAGTTGGCACACCATTGATCTTGAACGTGTTGCATGCTCGGAGGAATTTGGTGATATGGTTGTGTGGGTCCTCCGTTGGTCCTCCACCAAACTGATCAGATGAGACCATGTGGATGACAGCAGGTTTGATTTCGAAGTTGTTTGCTGTGACATCTGGCGGAATAATGTTGTTGTGTTCCGCCACAGGAGGAGTGACATAGTCAGAAAGAGTCCTCCTGTTCGGAACTTCATTTTGTCTTCTCTGAATTCCCTGCACATTTTCAAGAACATCGTTCCGTGGAACTTCCATTTTCTTTCTTTTTCTTATTTCTTTCAAATGTTTTTCAATTTCTGGAAAGAAAAATTTTTCTTGATTTTTCCCACGGGAACGAGTTAGCATAAAAAGAAAGGGATTGGGGAGGTTTAGAGAGAGAGAGAGGGGCAAGGGGAAAGGGAAATAGAAGGAAAATAAAAAAAGGGGGGTGGGAAGGGAAAAATTGAAAAGAGAAGGGAAAGGGGGAAAGGAAAAGAAGAAGAAAAAAAATGTAATGTGCAAAAATTAATAAAAAGGCTCTCACTTAAGTCAAGAGGTAAAAACCATCGAGACAAGTGATACCTTAGTTAGTAGTTAGCGGTTAGAGTACCAAGCAGTAATAAACCAACGAGGACACTAAAAAAATAAAAAGAGTTAGTAATAATATATAGATATATAATATATACTCAGTAATATATAATATAATATATATATATATATAGTATATATAATATATAATATATAATATATAATATATAGTAGATATAATATATAATATATAGTATATAGATATAATGTCCAATAGCGGCTTTGCACGCCTTGAAAGGAAAAAAAAATGCAAAAATGTAAAGTGCAGTAATTAAATGTACAAACCCTGTGACGGCTTTGCCGGTCAGCGGGAAAAATAAAGAAAAAAAATGACCAATCACCGTTGGCGGAAAATCCGACCTGTGGGATAGTTCAATATGTCCAAGTATGTCCAAGTCAATATGTCCAAGTCCAATAGGTGTTCAAGAGTAAAGGAACTCAAAGGATTTTTTTTTTGTTTTATAGTTTTTTTTTTGTTTTTTAGTTTTTTTTTTGAGAGTTTTTTTTTGTTTTGTTTTTTTTTTGAGGTTTTTTTTTGTTTTTTTTTGTGTTTTTTTTTGTACCTGCAAGAAGAGGTTAGGAAAACAAACTAATAACAAATATTTACAACAAATAAACAATAAAAGTTATGTTTAAAATAAAAAAAACTCAAACCGTCTCCCCGGCAACGGCGCCAAGTTAATTGTCCAATGTTTTTATAAAAGTTGGATTGTCAATTTATTTTTATATAGAGTGTGTGGGGTTGCAGAAAAGTATTTAGGGACGCTCTCGCAGTTCACCTAAATAATAACCACTTCGAATTTAATACGCTAATGATAAATCCGGAGTAATTATTTAATAACAGCGGCAACCATAATTATTTTATTGTATGTTTACCCAATTTAATGGTGTAAAAATACAACTCAATAATTATGTCCACCCGAAAATCTTCAATCCCGGTTAAAGGTAGAGAAAATATACGGTGTAATTAAAAAGTGTTCTATTTTATGATTATTTCAATTTTAGCTCATATTCCTTTTAACAATTATGTTTATGATTGGGCCCTTAATTAAAAATCACAAACATTTCAAATTTATTTATTTTTAAATACAACATCTAAGTAAAAATAAAATCAACAATCCATGTTAAAAATATTCAAAACATTAAGATGGACAATTAATTACACCAACTTCTAACCCCAATGGAATTTAGAAGTTCATAGTTTGAAGCTTAAACAAATAAATATTTATTACAATAATAAAAATCTTACAAAATNTCAATTTTAGCTCATATTCCTTTTAACAATTATGTTTATGATTGGGCCCTTAATTAAAAATCACAAACATTTCAAATTTATTTATTTTTAAATACAACATCTAAGTAAAAATAAAATCAACAATCCATGTTAAAAATATTCAAAACATTAAGATGGACAATTAATTACACCAACTTCTAACCCCAATGGAATTTAGAAGTTCATAGTTTGAAGCTTAAACAAATAAATATTTATTACAATAATAAAAATCTTAAAAAATGGAAGATGTGTTCTTGAGCTCCAAATATGATAAATGATGATGAAGATGGAGTAATTTTTATGTGTTTGGATGAAGAAAATGGTGAGATATTAGTGATGGAGGAGGAAAATTTCGGATTGGAGAGAGGAGAGAAATGGGGGGTTCCAACCTCTTTGAAGAAGAGAAGGGTTGGGTTTTTATAGATGAATTCGTATATACGGAGTATATACAAACAGTCTCACATAAAGTCAATACAAGCACAGTAGCGCACATGGAAATGAGGTTGCTTGACGTGCCGCGTGATCCTGTGTTTGATTCTCCTTCCAGTGTCGGTGTTTTGTCATTTTTTTTTCTCTCAATCAATGGCTGATTCAAATCAAGAACATAATTGTTGTCCGCCAGTGATTTGCCGAGAAATCAGCTGTGGCGCGATGGTCAAAGCTCTAGTTCTTCCACTACTTTGACGTCCGCGGTTCGAACCCTAGCGCCGTTTTTATGCTTCATTTTTGTTTATTTCCTTCTTTCCTTCACATCTCTTCCATTTACTTTGGTCCCAAACTTCCATGTTTATTTTCCGTTCTTGAAATTGTTCTCAATGCGTTCAAACGGTTTCAAAATACCTGCAAAACATATAAAACCAAGCATAAGACTGCCCTCCCAAAATAAAACGGAAAATTAATATAAAATGTAAACATTAATTCAATTGGGACTTAAAACTCTTTCAAAATATGCCTAAAAAGTGTATAAAATATGTGCATATCACTATTATTTCCATGGCACACTTATGCATGAAGTTTTACACTCCCAATGGAATCGGGGAGGAAAGTGGTGATCAAAAGAACGCCCGGTCCTGCTACCTGGAAGCAGTCAAGAAGATGACCCGCCAGTTCGAACAAATTGAAATGGTCTCCCAGCAAGTAGACAAGGGTGAGGAGAAGGCTAGGATTGAGCCGGATGCAAACACGGAGGAGATCCAGATTGATGCCTCCAATCCTGAGAGGAAGGTTAAAATTGGGGCTGATCTTCAGGAAGAGTTAAGGACTGAGATTATCCAGGTGTTGACCGGGTATAAATCATTATTTGCCTGGAGTGTTGCTGATATGCCCGGAATTGACCGGTCAGTCATTTGCCATCGTCTTTCTGTTCTTGAGGGGTCTAGGCCTGTAAGACAGAAGAAAAGATTCTTAGCAAGTGATAGGAGGGATTTTGTGAAAAAGGAGGTTAAGGACCTACTTGAGGTAGGTCATATCAGGGAAGTAAACTACCCCGAATGGCTGGCCAATGTTGTCCTGGCCCCGAAGGGTGATACCTGGAGGATGTGCGTGGACTACACAGACCTCAACAAGGCATGTCCAATGGATTCTTACCCTCTCCCTAGCCCAGACCAAATGGTTGATGAAACCGCCGGGTGTGAGTTGCTTAGCTTCATGGAGGCCTTTAAGGGGTATCACCAAATCTTCATGGCGGAGGATGATGAAGAGAAGACGGCCTTCCTCACTCCGGACGGCACATACTGTAACAAGGTGATGGCTTTTGGGTTGAAAAACTCAGGGGCAACTTACCAGAGAATGGTCAACAAATTGTTCAGGCCTTTGCTTGGACGGACCATGGAGGCCTATGTCGATGATATGCTGGTGAAGAGCAGGGCAAGCGGCACACATGCTCAGGACCTGGAAAAATGCTTTGAGATTATGGCTAGGCATAATCTTAGACTTAACCCGAAGAAGTGTGTTTTTGCTGTGAGGACGGGGAAGTTCCTGGGCTTTATGGTGACGAAGAGAGGGATTGAGCCAAATCTTGAGAAGATCAAGGCCATTATAGAGATGCAACCCCCAACATCGGTAAGGGAAGTCCAGCGGTTAACAGGGCGCTTGGCGGTCTTAAACCGATTCTTGTCCAGGTCGGCAGAGAAGGCTTTGCCTTTCTTTAAGGTTTTAAAGAAAGCCAACACCTTCCAGTGGGATGATGAATGTGCCAGGGCATTCGAAGAGTTGAAGACATACCTGACTTCGGATATTGTCTTATCCAAGCCAGAAACAAAGGAGACCCTCTACCTCTATTTAGGGGTTACTCAAATGGCTGTTAGCTCAGTCTTGATGAGGGATGATGGGGTCCAGAGGCCCATCTATTATGTAAGCAAGGCCTTAAATGGGGCAGAAAGTAGGTACACTCCTACGGAGAAGGCAGGGTATGCACTTTTTATAACAGCGAAAAACTCACGTCGTACTTCCAGGCCCATCCCATTGTCATATTGACCGACCTACCATTGGGCACGGTCATGAGGGATTCCACTTCATCGGGAAGGATGATCAAATGGGCCATGATGCTTACCCAATTCAACATTGAATATCGTCCGAGGACGGCGATAAAAGGGCAGGCTGTAGCTGACTTTCTTGTGGAGATGACGGGTCACCAGGAAGAAGAACCGGCCAGGGCCATCACCGAACCGTGGTGGTCCATGTCGGTAGATGGAGCCTCTGGACCGAAAGGTTACGGGGGAGGCGTAGTATTCACAACTCAGGAAGGGTTTAAAGTATATCATGCCTTGATTTTTAATTTCAAGCTCACAAACAATGAGGCCGAGTATGAGGCGTTGATAGGGGGCCTGAGATTGGCCAAAACCCTACAAATCACATGCCTCAGGATCAAGTCCGATTCAAGCTTGGTGGTAGGCCACATCAATGGCAACATGGAGGCCAAAGGAGAGAAAATGCAGAAGTACAGAGACTTGGCAAGGGCACTATTGAAGGACATGACTGAGTATGTGATGGAGCAAATCCCTAGGGGGGAGAACACTGATGCTGACTTACTATCAAAGTTGACGCAAGCAGCCCCGAAGCATGTGTCCAAGCTGGCTAGCATTGAGACGCTGGAGAAAGCCAGCATTGAGGGGTTTTCTGTTAGCGTGATAGAAGAAGATGGACAAGCCAATCCAGATCGAGTGGAGCCAGATGACATTTGGATGGATGATCTGGTCAGGTATTACATGACCGGGCAATTCCCTGAAGATGAGGACAGGGTGAGAAAAGTAAAGTTGAGGGCTCCAAGATTCCAAATGCTCGAGGGAAGGCTATACAAAAGAGCATTCGGTGGTCCATTGCTAAGGTGCTTGACCAGGGCAGAGGCGGAAAGAGTGATCGCCGAAGTTCATGAGGGTGTCTGCGCCGCCCACCAAATGTCCAGGACGCTCGCGCAAAGGATCATTTTGCTAGGTTATTTCTGGCCTACAATGAACCAAGATTCCGAGAGATATGTCCAGAGGTGCAAGATTTGCCAGGTATTCTACAAGTTTCCGGGAATGCCTGCAACATACTACCACCCAGTTTCCAATGTTATTCCATTCACAAGGTTTGGGATGGACATCATTGGGGCCTTCCCTCAAGCTCAAGGGAGAAAGAAGTATGTCATGGTCGCTATCGACTACTTCACAAAATGGGTGGAGGCCGAGGCATATGCAACCATCACAACCAAGCAGTGCCAGCGCTTTGTCTGGAAGAACATCATCACTCGGTTCGGGTCACCCCGAAACATCGTGACGGATAACGGGCCTCAATTTCGGAATCCAGGGTTCACCAAATACTTGGAGGACTTCGGGATTACTCACAACAA